CACACTTCAAGAGAAGCTGACCACCATTCGTACCAATACTTTATCATCACCTGCCGTCGACCGCATTGTCTCTCATGCCCTGTCCTAGGCCCATCGCTCCTATGGGAAACGTCTCACTCAAGCTGTAATCACCAAATTCTACCAAACAATCAACGAACCAAAAACCAGAGTAACCATATCTCTACCAACTGAAATGGACACTACACCTGCACCATCTAGAGCCACCACGCTGCCGAACCAAACCCCTACTTTTCACCTACTCCTAGTCCAGCAGACATAGGTAAACGCTCTCGTAGAGAGGGCACTCCCCTTCTCTTTTCACTTTCAGACTCGTCTTCCCTTCCACACCATCTGAATCTTCACCACGTGATCCAGGATCCGCCAACCTTTCTTCTTTCTGTGCGTTTTTGGACCAGCAAACCACCCCTCAGTCTCCATCCAAGTCGAGACGTGTATCCAGACCTTCCCCCCCACCCCCCCTCGAACCAGATCCCAGTCCGTTCCCAATGCTACAATTCTAACAACTACCTAACCAGTACCAATCACACTGTCGACGACCATTATATCCGCTACCAAACCGTATTATCACCAAACCAAGGACAAATCATTATGGAAACTACCTGCTCTAAAGAAATCTACCTTAATAATTGGATCATCTAACCTGAATCGAATTACCAAAACCAGTTCAGACACTCTAATACATTCTTACCCCGGTGCCCAAATCCACCACATACAGACAATCCTGAAGTCATACGACCATGATCCCAAACCTACTACCATTATTCTTCATGTAGGCCTCAACAACCGTGATCAGCTACCAAAGACCTCCTTTAACCAAGACCAGAAATTAAACGCCACAGCCAACAAAACCTTCCCAAACTCCAAGATCCTCTTCACATGTATACCCATTTCAAATAAAATCTCGAAGAAAGCACAACAGAACCTCAGCACTCTCAACAACATGATGATGGAGTCCAGTATCAACAGCGCAACAATCTTACCACCCTACGAAGAAGAATTCGAACCAGTTGATAATCTTCATTGGTCTCCAGAAACAGCTAACAGCATGTATTTGTTTTGGATACACCAGCTTCAAGCATCGAGCAAGTCTTTAAACTAATTACTGGGGATAAAAATACTGAGAGGCCACCGCTAGGCCAAACTGTAGTTAACTTGAGCCGCAAAATTCTCACACTCCTTCAGCATTCAATCTTAGACCGTGGACTTAAATTTATTCCCACACCAAAGATAGCTAACTTGAATTATCTCCGACCATCCATTGAACGATTTCAACGAAATCTTAGCTGCACATATTTTTTTCGAAACCACCCCCACGTGGTGCTAGAACAATGTTTATTCCTAAATCCATGTGGACACCCCCTCAGGCCGCCATCCATCCTGAAATATTGAAAGCATTTGCGAGTATGAATAGCCAAACAGTGAACCTTTCCATAACACACGAAAACCCTAATCTCACACGAGTGGAACGTGAAGCGTTAAACTTACTTAAGAAAGACGATAGCATTGTTATTAAAAAGAGTGACAAAGGTCCATGTTGTGTCATTCTGAATAGGGAGGATTACGTTTCAGAGCAGAGAATCAACTGAATAATCCTAAACATTATGCCATTTTACCGAAACCAATTTTCAAAGAAACTGCTAACATGATTAACAATATTCTTGCCGATTTAGTCAAAACTAGTTATCTCAAACAGAAACAATATGACTATCTGTCTGCCAAACCTGATTGTCACGAGAGACATTTGTACACTTTGCCTAAAATCCATAAGAATCCAACCAAGGAGTGGTTTATCTAGAATAAAATCCCCAAAGGCCGCCCGATTATATCTGACTGTGGTAGTGAGTCATATGCAGTGTCAGAATACATTGATCATTTCTTACTACCTCTAGCATGTCAACATCGCGCCTACCTTAAAGACACAACCGATTTTGTCAATAAAATAAAAAATCTTCGAGTTCCCTCTAATGCTATTTTAATTTCTATCGACGTTTCTTCTATGTATACCAATATCGATAACACTACTGGTCTAACGGCAGTTCGTAAAGCTTTTAATAGAAACCCAGATCCAAACAGACCCGACGATGAAATTCTACAGCTTTTAGAGATTTGTCTTAGTCGAAACGATTTCACATTTAATGGTAAAACATATTTACAAACTTCAGGGACAGCAATGGGCAAACGATTCGCCCCTTCGTACTCAAATCTCTTCATGGCAGAGTGGGAACGTGAGGTGTTGCCCCTCTGTCCATTTGACCCACTTTTTTACGGACGCTTTTTGGATGACATTTTTATGGTTTGGACTTATTCTATCGAACAGTTTTGGGAATTCTTTGAAATTCTCAACAACCACCATCCTTGTATCAAACTAACCGCAAACGTGAGTGACAAAAACATAGACTTTCTCGATACCACAGTCTTTAAGGGAGATTCCATAGCAGAAACAAATAAACTGGATATTAAAATGTATTTCAAAAAAACTGATACTCTATCTGATAATCTAATTCCTATAGTTTCTCTGGTATTAAGCAGTAGTTCAATTGCTCGCTTGCTATCAGGTGGTAAAAGCACAAAACACTCAACACTTTTCCTCGATTTCTCTCCAGATATCACCATATCGATTCTGTAATAAGAAAATAAATCTTGAAAGTAATTTAACTGAATTGAAAAAACCAGAAGTCAAATGATTCTACAGGAAATAATGTTTTAGAAAGTTGAGACTGTAAATGCCTACATTTCACAAACAGATGTGGTTTTACAAATGCTGTTTCTTGAGATACGATGCAAAACGAAAATAATGCCATGCATATTGTTTAATTGTTAAATCCAATCTTCAGATAAATTACCTATTAGCAAATAACTGGTCTACTTTAGACAATGCTAATGTAATTTCTTCATTTCTATCTTCATTCCATACAGGTCTGTTCACATAGTCGTCAACGTTGAGCTCTGTAACTTCTGCTCGTCTTCGTTTGTTGAACAGAATCAACCTGCAGACTGTTAGTTTTGCCAGCTCACTCCAGTCATGTAAATTTGATGAAGCTTGTACCAGTTTATGAGAAAACTTCTTCATCTGTTCTATTATATATTCTCGAAGTAATTTCAGATCTTCAGTTAGAGGTATTATGTGTGATCGCTTTCTTTTTTCAATATTGTACATCTTAGTACAAACAGAATTAACCCGGAAAGTCCACTCTGCTTCAAAAATCTTCTGGAAACTAGAAGCCTCTTTTTTCTTCTGCTCATCATTATTCCTTAAAGCCTGACCAACTTTCACCTGAATAATGTGTCCCTATACGTGTCCTGTGTTCTTTCCCAGAGAAAGTACCGGTTTCTCACGATCATGGGATAAATGTTTTGCACATTTCACTACTAGATCAAAATTTTCTAGTTTCACTAGAGAATCCACATTAATGATGTCAACTGGTTTTTCTTTTTTTGCTTCTTTTACCATGGTGCCCAAGGTCCGTGCAGCGTTGCTCACTCTCTATATGTCACTAGATTTTTGGGCAGATACATCACCAAGTGATTCTAGTTTTAGAAGTGAAAATTTCTTGATCAATGTATCAGTCATGATCAATTCCTTGATCTCATCATCCCTAAGTCTCTCAAAGAATGAAATAAGTTGCTCTTCATTGTCATCTTCTATTAAGGCACTGTAGAGCAAATTTTTACCTCGTCTTAAAATATTTTTAAAAATCAGATTCTTTTTTTTCTTTGTTGAAGTAATAATTGAAAACTTGACATTTTTTCTTATGGTGCCATTAGTTTGAACTAAAGACGAATTGACACGATAAATAATCCCCTGGTTTATTCTCTTTTATACTGGATCTTCTTTCAACTACCAAAAATCCTTCTATATTCTTTAAAACATTGATATTATGTTTGAAGGTCAATTGTTCTTTGTTTAGATCTTTTAGGGAGAATACGAATGCTGCTTACTTAAACCTCATCCTTGTGAACACTCAGTAAATGGCGTGATATTTTTGAGCTGATCCCCTTACCACAGTACGTACAATAATTAATTTTATCGTATATTTGCTTACAGCCTTCTTTTATTTTTCCCCGCTGCTTCACGCCAAATACTTTGGAAGATGTTGTATTCTGTGGAAATTCAGCTAGTTTACCTTCATTTCCACTATTTTGCTGATGCAGGGATGAGAAAAGTCTCCCATCTTGAAAAGGTATCTCATCCGATTCTTCTGCACTATCACTCACGATCGCAGAATCCAATAAGTGATTTTCAGGACTGGCCTCTGTCTTTTGCATTTTGATAGAAGAGTGAAAGTCACTTTCATGGTCATCTGTTTCATTATCATCTGCTTCAGTATCGTGGGTAGGATCATAATCTGGATCTCCGATGTTACTGCTGTCAGAAAACACAGGTGAGGATGGATGTGGTACATCAATATCACAACTGACCTATCCAAATAAGTCAACAAACCTTGCATCCAAAGTAGACAAATCACTCTCTTGAATTAGTGGTATACCGCATGGTATGCCTGTAGGCGAAACGCAGACACTGGGGACTTCACCGACACTGGATTCTTCACCGACACTGGGATCTGTACCAACACTGGGTTCTTCACCGACCTTGGGATCTTCACCGACACTGGGTTCTTCATTGACACTATGTTCTTCATTGACACTATGTTCTTCATTGACACTGGGTTCTTTACTGACACTGGGATGTTAACTGACACTGGGTTGGATCACTGACTGTGGGTGGATCACGGACTGTGGATGAATAACTCACTGTGGTTAAATAACTGACTGTGGTTGAGTCACCAACTGTGGGTGGATCACTGATTGGTGGATCACTGACTGTGGGTGAATCACTGACTGTGCTCAGATCACTGGATGTGGGTGGATCACGAACTGTGGTTGAATCACCGACTGTGGGTGGATCACTGACTGTAGGCGAATCACTTACTGTGGGTCGATCACTAACTTTGGATGCTTGACTGTGGATGGATCACTGACTAAAGGTGGATCACTGACTGTGGGTGGATCACTGACTCTGGATGGATCACTGACTGTTGATGGTTCACTGACTGTGGATGGTTCACTGACTGTGGATGGTTCACTGACTGTGGATGGATCACTGACTGTGGGTTGATCACTGAATGTGGTTTGATCACCTACTGGATTAGTTACTCTCAATGCTTGACTGACTGTGTGTGTTGTACTGATAGTGGCTGGATCGCTGAAAACTGGTGAATCACTGACAGTGGATGCTTTACTAACATTTGGTGGATTGCAGACTCTAAGTGGTTCACTGATGGGTGTTTCACAAATTTTTGGTGGTTTAATTACCATTGCTGGTTGACTAACTGTTGATGGTTGATTGACTGCAGATTCTCTAACAATCTGTTGTTCACTGAATGAGCGTGGACAATGGACTGTGGATGCTACATTGTCTGTTTGGCCACTGAATGTTGGGTTAATATCCATTGGGACAGTGACTGTAGGACAATTTACCAGTACGGGAATTCCCCATTCCATTTCATTTCATGCGGAAAGTGCGACCAAATTGAAAGTCCCAAAAAGACCTAAACACCCTACATTCATAAA